CCCGCCACCTTAGGTGTATGTGGCTGGCGCCGAGCCGGAAGTTTTGTTTAATGAGGGAAAAAAATTTCACTAGCTCTGGGTAGATTCTCTAGATGCAGCTTCTGTAATCCTGGTGGGGCAGTGCACCCAGATTGGCCCCTAAACAGTCCCTGCTGCCCCACAGCACTGACACCACAGGGGCCACATTCCCTCTCTAACTGATGTCCTTCCCAGGGCCCCACCCAATGTAGCCTCTGCATAAGCTCAAATCACTGGGTCATGGGAAGAGGGACTGACGGAAGGGAGGCTGAGTGACAGCAAACATGTCAGGCCGGACACTGTAGAGTCAGAGATCAGCAAGTCCAGTGCCTGGCATTTCAGGAAGGAGGGGGACTCATGCGACCCACCAAGGACATCACTGTACCTGAGGCACTGCCATTTCTGAATCTTTTTCTTTCCTCTTCTGGCCTTCTTCTTTGTGTAACTGGATTCTTTAGAATTCAATTCTGAATAATAAAAATATTCTGCTTATTGTTTAGAATTAATACACTCCCTCCCTGTGACACAACCACACACACAGGGAAGACCTCGCCCTGCAGAAAGGGCGACATAGCGAGACTCTGTCTCAAAAAAAAATAAAAATAAAAAACTAAAGAAAAAAGAAAGACAAACTGGTGATTCTCATACACCCTCACCAGAGCCCGCCTCCCTCTTGGCGACATCCTGCACACAGGGCAGCAGAGGAGAGCTGGGCTGCCCTCCAGGGCACAGTTCCAAAACCCAAGCTGAGCACAAACCCTCATCCCTCTGTGATCACAGACTGACCTCAGCCCTCAGCAATGGGGGACACAGAGCCTTTGTGTTCAGTGCTTGACACAGATTGGACACACCTGGTCACTAGAACCATTACTGAAGGTGATTCCAAACCTAACTGTGTAGAGGGGAAGGGGACAAGAGAGATGTATTTGATGAAAGCCTCCACAGTCTTGTCCAGAGGGGCAAGGCCAGGACCCCTCCTACCTGTCTCTGCTTTCCCCATGGAGACCTGCGACCACTGTCCTGACAGTGAATGATGAGGAACCCAAAAGAAATATATAGCTCAACCAATATGGACTATCAGGGGCCTGGTGGGGGTGAGGAAGTGGCTGAAATACTAAATAGGGGGACAGAAGTCCTCTTTGAGAAGATGGTATCAGAAGAAACAGGTAACGAAGGAAGGGTACTTGTTACCTGTAGCCCACAGGCAGGAGAGTTCTAGAAAGACAGACATCCACCATTATGGCCCTGAGGCGGGAGCAAAGTGGGGAAAAGAGGCCTGTGTGGCTGCAGCAGAGCCAGCAAGCAGGACACAAGCTGATGAGACCAGAGGTACTGGGCGAGCAGAGCAGGGAGAGCCCAGGCCCGCACACTTATATCTCCTGATGTTTGAAATAGGAAAAACCACTCATTCTTCACACAGAATAGTTCACCTCTAGTCACTAATGTGTGTGTGGTTCAACCCAGTGACCACTTCTTTGGGGGACTCCCAGCTGGGTGCCCCATAATCTAACTCGATTTTGATAGTAACGACATGTGGATAGGGTCAGATCCCACAGGTCAAGGATTGAGTCACCAAGACTGTCCCTCCCTTCACATGCAAATAAAAATTATGGTTTCCAACACCCCTCCTAGGTTTTCATTTACCTGTGAGAATGACTCTTGCTTCTGTCTGTTCATGTATGTGCTCTGGAATATTTCTGTATCAAATGAATCAACCTACGAAAAATGTTCTAAGTTTATAAATAGTTAACAAAAATAAGAAAATGTGACCAAAGAAAATAAAACACATAATTTATAGCTGTTCAGTCGTAAGTTCTGGTCCCTTCTGGGGACCTGGGACTGGCATTTGATGTGGGCAGCCTGGTGGGACTGAGCCCGACAACTGAAGATCTGATCCCATGGCTAGGTGGACAGTGTGATAACTCAGTTACCTTATGGACACCCTATGGGTGTCTGATGGACAGCTCCATGCTATTGAGGAGTGACTCCCACATGTCAGTGACCAGAGGTGGCATATTCTGTGTTAAACACTCAGACTTCCTGATTATAAAAGTAGGAAAAACATTTTGGTTTTTCCTCCTATCTCAGGCACAATCCCACTCCCTACCCCATTTTAGAAAAAGGGAAGAGGGTGACCCACAGTGGAATGAGTCAACTCACTGCCCTCTGGCTGAATCTGGGCTACAAGTAGAGGTTAGCTTGTGAGGCCAGGAATTATTTCATGCAACAGCATTAGGGACAGAAATCGTGCAGTTGTCAACTTCATCTCTGTATCTGCAGGAAATGCTAAACTTATTAGATTAAAATTGGGAAAACAGGCTCGGCGCCTATAGCTCAACTGGCTAAGGCGCCAGCCACGTACACCTAAGGTGGCGGGTTCGAATCCCCAGCCCGAACCCGCCAAACAACAATGACAGCTGCAACCAAAAAATAGCCGGGCGTTGTGGCGGGCGCCTGTGGTCCCAGCTACTTGGGAGGCAGAGGCAGGAGACTCGCTTGAGCCCAGGAGTTGGAGGTTGCTGTGAGCAGTGAAGCCATGGCACTCTACCCAGGGGGACAGCTTGAGGCTCTTTCTAACAAAAAAAAAAAAAAAACAATTGGGAAAACACTGTCACACAACTTAATCATCACACACAATCACCTCAAGACTCATCTGGGCTTAGGGCCTTATTGTCTTCATTTCCTTGTGTTTCCCTCCCTCATTCTCTACAAACCACTCATCTTCACCTTCTCTCCCCTGTTCTTGCTTTTCTCTTCTCCTCTGTGGCTCCCAATCCTTCTTGCCCTCCCAGAACCCTCTGCCTGAGACACCTATTTGCTGCCAATGGCCCTATGTTGGTTTTCTTCAACTTATCAGGACATCTAGGTTTTCCAGAAACTGCTTCAGAAACTTCCCCTTATGCTCCCCCCAATCGCTGGTGTCCTTCCTACGGATAGTATGGTCGGGAGCACTCCAAAATCAGAGCAAGCATACTCTATCTCGGTTGTTCAGTGACCTCTGTTGAAACCAACACCTTCAGGAACTGAGCCAGAGGGAAGGAGGAACTATGGAACAAAATGGCTCCAGGGAGGGCTAAACCTTAAACAGAATGGTCTCAGTAGGAAGCCAGCTGGAACCCTAAACTGCAACAGTCACTAGAACACCAAAATAACACTCTCCCCACACAACCTACCTAAAACCTTTGAAAGGTAAGCCCTCTTGGTCTTTTGAGATGGTGCCCATTGGGTCTCAGCCTGCCTTCAGTGAGGCGCCAACTATCGCTTGTCAAGCTTTGACTTGATTGGCTCCACTGGTACCTTACACCTTCGCTTTCACTCTCCAGTCTCTTTGCAAATCCCTCCCATGTCCTCTAGTGGGTAGTATTCATGGTGTTGCAGGAAGCTTAGGCCCAGTGGAGAGAAAGAACACCCAAACACCCTCTTCACAAGAGGAGGGGTTCGACTGGCGCCTATAGCACAGGTGCCGGACACATACACCAAGGCTGGCAGATTGGAACCAGGCCTGGGCTTGCTGAACAACTGCAACAAAAAAAATAGACGGGCGTCTATTGGCAAGCGCCTGTAGTCCCAGCTACTTTGTAGGCTGAGGCAAGAGAATTGGTTAAGCCCAAAAGTTGAAGGTTTCTGTGAACTGTGATGCCACCGCACTCTACTAAGGACAACAAAGTGTGACTCTGCCTTAAAAAGAAACAAAAACAAAAGCAAAAAAAACCCAGAAGGAATTTATTCCAACCAGGGGAGTAAATACTGACTAGAGTCTACAATGGCCTCACTCCCACACCGACTCCACTCACAGGCTTCTTTTTATCTCCAGTCAACAGCCCAAAGGTACCTTTCTCTTTGGTCAGTTTGAATCAAGCTAGACAAGGGGGCTGTGGCTTTTACAGAGGTGGAAGCAAGTTATTAGTTTCCAGGTCCCAGGAAGTTAAGTGTCTTAAACTTTTTAAAGCTGAGTCACCACGGGGAGGCCCAAGCAGGTTTGGCCTTGGGGGCTTCTTGAGAAGGCCTCTGTTCTCTTGGACCTCACTTTTACAGGGTATCGTATGTCCTCACTCTTCCTCTAAGTTTTCCTACTTCCTCTCTCTTCCCCTCCTTCTCTGTTACTACACACATTCATCAGTAATAAATGGGAATAACATGCTCGCCTGAACAGCATCCAAGAATTACGTTTGAAAGGACATTTGGTGTCACACGCCACTTACAAGAACTGGTAACTGATAACTGTCCTGGGGCGCTGACACGCCAAGAACAATGGCGGGGTACGGCTGAGGGGACGGATCTGCTGAACCCCCGGGACAGGGAAAGGGACAGGACGGGGGTTGCGGCGCAGCCCTGCAGGGGCACTCGGGGGAGGCCTGGGACCCGGAAGTGCGTGAATCACCCTCCCAAGCGAGGACTTGATGGGGAGCGGAAAGAGTGCAAGGGTCACTCAGGGGCTTTAAGAGCGACACAGTGCAAAATGAGGTGTCTCCCATACCTGTGGCAGAAAGACCGGGGCCAGGACTTGCCTCAGGGCGACTCACTTCACCGGGAAGCGACCCCGGACGCTCACTGAGACGTGAATTTACTGGAATGGAAGGAGCCGTGCGGGGAACTGAGGTCGCTACAGCTCCCAAGAATCCAGGTATAGAGGGGCTGGGGATGGGGAAGCAAACACGTGATCGCAAAAAGGGAAACTCACCGGCCACGGAACGGCCTCTGATCCAGTCAGCGGCTTCCGTTTCTGCGGGAACCAGCGCAGGTAGGGGAGGCGGG